TATACGCCAAATGCCAAGGCTGCAACGAGCAGGGCCATATATCAGTGCCTAAAAGACTGTTTTTGAACTTGCGGTTCCAGCGAAAAGTGGAGAAATGTGCTGACGATCAGGATAGCGATTAGGGCTTGTCGGTAGGCAGCAAGAATGCATGCAGTGCTGCGCAGCGGCTTGAGTGGGCGCGTCATGTTCTCATGCGTATGCGGCTGGCATCGTGATGCATGAATGAAAACACAACACAGCGTCACATTTTGTCTTTCTGTCTCTTTGGATATAACTACGTCACACTGTTTATAAAATATATATCTGCAGTAAATTGGCAACATCTGTTGTACTGACTCTTTCTCTCTTTCACACGAACGCACGTAGGGAGAAACAAGGAAAAAGGACAAGTGAGTGGGAGAGGAGTAATAAAGATAACTTCATACAAGGAGATAAGAGAACGACCGGCCATGCGACTCGAGGAATCTAATGAAGCCTAGTAGGAAGAGAAAATAAGAGATATATTCAATGCGCACAACGCATGAAGTGACGAAGGAAAAACAAATATTAGGTTCGATAAAAGAGTGTGGCAGGAGCATAGCGTCCAGAGCAGGAAAGCAAGGAGGAGCCAGAGGGGGAGGACCGAAAGTGAAGAGCGAGTCAGAGTGCATTTGCGATGTCTAACTAAAGAGTCGATGACCATAGACGGAGAGTGCCCTCAAGCACGACAGAAAGAGAAAGAGGAGGGGGGGGGGGGCAGCGGTAAAAAAAAGGGATCTAGATGTGACTGTGCTATCAGAGGCACAGGAAGTAGAGAAAACAATTATGGGCGACGGAAGGCAGGGAGAGGAGGCTCAAGCGCGCCTAACCAACCACGCCAATGAACGGAGACAAGCGAGCAGTAATAAAAGGACTGCAAGCCACTGTTCAGGACGCGGAAGAGGATGTTGGTGGTCGGGATTTGGGTCAGGTTGCAGCAGAGGCGTGAAAAGGGGCGACGGTGAGGGAAGGGCAGGACCGGCGAAGCCCATCAAACGCGAAGCGGCGGTATCGGTCGCCGTCGGCACAGCAGGTGCCTTCCCCCCCTCACGTGTCGTGGAGTAAGGGGCAACGACCTGCTTTCCTCCGCGAAGGACCCCGGGCATCGGCCGCCCGAACCCTGGGCCCGGGGACCGTCGACGTGTTTCCCCAACCATCACGGCTCGGCCGGCACCAACCTAAACGAAAACACAGACGCCCCGAACGCCACTCTCACTCTCCCGGTGCAGCAGCAAGCGCCTGTGCGTCTGCAGTGCGGCGAAGAAAGGCTAACTTACGCGAAAATTGGAGCGAGACGGCGAAGGCGCACCCCGCAACTGCTTGGCGCTGAAAAAAAAAAAAAAAAAAAAAAAAAAAAAAAACTGGGCCACCCATCTGGTAGTCGTTCTCGTCCGTATTTTTTTTTTTTTTGTCTCTCGGCTTGTTTTTGTTCACTTGCTGGTCGCTTCCGTGTGGTTAGTTGTAACACTCATACTGCTGTTGTGAATATAAATATGCATTCCACGCATTCTTGTAGATGTAAAGGAATTATTTTTTTTTTAGTACGATCTGTCTTACCTTCCAGTTGTTTCGTTTTTTGGGGGGGTGGGGGGGGGGGGGCGGAGAACACGACGACGTTCGGGAAAAAGTAAGAAAGAAAACATAAGAAGGCTAGGCATACCTATGAAGCATGTTCGCGACGCTGGAATGCGTGCAATTCGTTATCCTTCCCACGGCTCTTGTGTATGGCTGCGCGGCCGTCTTTAATCTTCGTCGTTTGGAAACCGGGTTGGTACAGTGACACTGAAGAGTTCTCCACTTTCTGGTGACGGACTGTCGTCAGTACGTTCGCATGAAAAAAAAAAAAAAAAAGAATGGCTGCTGGCACTATCGCTTATAGGGGGTATGACCCTACGAGGAAATCTGAGGCACTGCGCCGTGCTCCCGACCGGGTTGCAGAAATTAGGTGCCTTTTCTCATCTTCTAACCACTACCACCACCACCAAATCTGCGCAACCGCGGCGGGGCCGTTTGTTGACCTATGCTGCGGCGCTGGCAAAGGACCGCATGGGCAGCATTGTTAGTTGGCGCGCGTTTTCGTTAAACGTGCGGTGATCTTCTAGTATTGCGCATTTGTTTCTCTTTGCACGCGTCTTGCCTGTAAACTGCTCTCTGCGGATTCACGGAACACTGCGGCATGCAAAATGGAGAACTCACAGGGTCTCTTTTATGCATTCGCCTATATGACTCGAAGGCAAACCCCATCTTGTTTTCTTCTCAGTCACTGAATCGATTGCTTTCTGCAGCTGACGTAGTTTTTGCACTGCCCCCAGGATCTGCGAGAAATCAAGTTCTCTGCACTTCCCTCGGTTTAGCATGGGAAGCTACATAACGAGACGGCATGATTATGTCATAAAGTTTGATGACATGTGAGGTGTTGACGATTTGATACAATGACTTTGTCACATGACTATGATATTTCAAAGCAGTCTTGTTGACACTAGGGAGCCTTCATGTGCGCGCGTCTCCGCGTTTCAGGGTGGTGTCAGCCTTTGACCCACCACTTGCCGCCGCCCGTTAAAACACACTGTTGCCAGCCCCGTTTTCCATGGCGACAAGCGCCATGTTGGTTCTTGCGGCCAGGCGTTCCTGCTCCGCCGCACTGCACTAGCTGAATGTTGGCGCGGGTGTGCAAGTTGCAGTATGAGCTGCGTTTGACTATATCGTAGACGTAGCTTCCGCTACGACACTATCCTCGCGCTAAGCGCATTTACAATAACTTTGAAGTGTAAATTCCAGGGTACTGCGCGCCGCAATGCAAAGCCAGCTGGAGACTGTCACACCTCCCGACTTGCTCTAGGCGACGGAAACGCTGGATAACACAAGTGAAACGAGATTGCTTGTAGCCGACTACTTCTCCCCGTGTTTTTGAGGTGAGTACCCGTTGTATTGCGAGTGGATTGAGTATACCGCTGCATATTTCGTGAAATTATTGATTTTTCATGCGATGAAAGGTGGTTTGAGCAAAGTAAACACGACAACTTGCACAGCGAAAAATGAATCAGGCTTCGTTCAACTACGCCGGGTTATGCAAGAGAAAGCTGATAAATTTGAGTATGTTTGTTTATTCTCGTAGTCGAAGCGTGGTTCACCAATCGAATGATACGACTAGTCGAACGTGTTGTCCTGCATGCATTCGCTATCAGCGTTTCATCGGTTTCCGAAGCCGTCACCGCCTTCGTCACGGGAAACGCCGGGCCCGTAAACCACCAACAGACGCTCACGTTCGTATCTTCCTTTGCTGGCAGATTTTCGCGTTCCTGCACTTTCACTTTGGTCGCTGAGGAAGGGCATTCGGAGAGGTAGACATACGAGCCGAAGAACACGTTCCCTGTAGACTCTTGTAGTCTTGCACAGTTGAAACAGAACTAAATTTTGTGTGACTTGGCATGGGGTATTCGTTCTTCCATTCAATGACACGCGGCATCACACTCGCTCAACAATAGCAAAAAGAATTTCGCTTTAATAATATAGAATGCTACAGCTTTACTGTTCATGTCAGTCCGCCCTTCTGTATGTCTGTCGGTCCTTAACGGCGGAGTATATGTGCACTAAGAAAGTCGGCTGTTGGCTGACAACTCAAATTTTCCGTATGGGAGATTGGTGCTGAATCGTTATTTTTGTCGTCCTTTTGTTTCATAACCAGCCACAAAGATGATTTGATATCGTGAACTCGGTTTTTATTTAGTGCTTGTAGAGAAAGTGTGTGTGGACTCCTCATATGGTCGGCGCAGTGTATGACTTCTCGCCTTATTGCTTTATTGTAGGCCCACTGTGTGGACACAAGCTTCCAGCAAAGAAGGCAGGACAGTTTGAAGAAATTAAGGCCAGATGCTGTTTGGATTCTGTTTTCAATAAAATCTGACCTGGAAAAACTTCGTTCGTCCCTTGTTGCTCCCCTGTGCCTTTATTCAAGACTAATATACAGGCTTGGGGGGGGGGGGGGGTAGGTGGAGGGTTAGTGTAATATGATTAAGGGCCCTACTATTTTTGGGAAATGCTTACTGCTTTTAAGGTTTTAAGCAGTTCATTGTAGAGATTCGTTTGCAGGAACTGGACTTGCTGCAGGAAATTATATTACGGACAAAAGCAATATTTCGGGTATGAGAAACAGGCTAGTGGAGTTATGCGGTTTACAGAGAACATCGCGAGCTACCCAGTTGTTTGATCTACATTCTCTGTCGTTATGGGTACCACCATATAAACATCATGGTTTCGAGCCTTGTACTGCAGGTTTCTGCAGTGCTAAGGTGAACTTGCTCCAGGAATGCCGCATGGACATTGAAGTCCGTTCACAGTGACATCGAGGTCCTCCCCCACGCAAATATAAGCTCCCTAAATATCCTCACTCCGCCAATGCGTTAGGTCTACCAGGTGGGAGAAACGAACTGTTTTAACAGTACTTTATTCACCTTTTCATAAACGCCTCCCTGGGCGCCGCCACAGCCCTCCTTGGGCTGTGCAAATTGGCGCGTCCCCTCGAAAATGCACTGACAACGCTGCGCCCTTAGCCTTTGTACTCCCGCACACAGCTTATCATGGCGGTGTTTTTTTCCTTCCTGTGAAAAGGTGTATACAAACTCGAGTCACGAACGTGTCTTTCCTCTTCTACGAAACCGTGGCTAACTGCACAATACGTACATTCAGCCTTCAAAACTCGCTATCTATAAACTACCCCCTTCTTGTTGAAACCCATGCTGCCTTCAATGTAAATGAGCGACCGCTCAGAACCAATATGGCGGCCTGCCAAGTATGGCGGCCGTTTCAGCCAGTTGTAAGCAACCATGATCGAAGTTGTCACCACCCCAAAGCACGGAGACGCGCGCACATGAAGGCTCCCTAGTTGACACCACCTGCGGGCACTTTTCGCGTTTGATGAGGCATCTAAGCCTTCCGACTTACTGGAGGAAAACAGAACTGATCAACTTGTTGTTTTCTCGCAGGGTTCACCGCCATGAAGGTTGGCTTCAGCAGCCTCCTAGTGCTGGCGCCGCTATTTTTATGCGTGGCCATCCATTCGCTTCCGACGGGTCACAAGGCTGGTAAGTGTGCTTCTACTGCTCCGAATGAGCTGCTTAGCGTTACCCAGTTCGACGGCGCTTGCTTGTGAGATTGACATCACCCGCCTCGATGAATAAGTGGTTGCAGCGTTCCGCTGAGTTGCACGCAAAGGGGTTCCGCTCCTTGACGCGGCTTGTCTACTCTGCCAGCGCACGGACAGGGCGCCCGCGAAAATGCATGTGCAAGGCCTAATGCGTGTTACATGCTGTCCCGAATGGTCAAACTTACTGCTCGTTACAATCAATTAATCAATAAATCACTGTAATTGCCCTTTCACAATCAAATACAAGCATTCTCTAGTATGCCGAACCCTCCGATCAAGCACATATTGAACACAGAAATAGCCTGGGTGCTCTCCATGACGACCCACGAAGAACCGAACCGAATGGAGGTGGGCCTTCTGAAAATGCGCAATGAAAAAACTCTGAAGTGCGCAAGCACACCTAAAGAAAAAATGGGGAAGGTCACTTTCCCCATGCACGTAAGCTAACTCGCCTGCACTGCCACTTTTATTCAGACAAGAGGGGTTACATGCAGATAACTTGAATCACGAATAGAGTTGCGCGAATGTAACCACGCTATAGGTGTCTGATGCACTACACGAGCGCATTCTGTAAGAGTGCTGGCTGTGATCCTGTGTGTAACGCTGTTTTCGCCTCGCTAAATAGTACCACTTTGGGTAACCACTTTGCGATATATCGTTATGCGTTACTTAGTTAACAGGGTGAGAAAGCTGCACATATTGCGAATTCTTGATATACATTTCCATTTTCTTGCACCAAGCTGCTCCAAAAGCATAAAAATTGCGAAAATTGTGCCAAACTGCTCCAAAACTGCCTCGACATGTAGAATTTAGATGCCAACCTCAGCTTCAGTGGGAAAAAAATTGGCAGCATATCCAAGGAGTGAATGATGGAGAGTGGGGCGAAGCATTCGTCCGTCCATTCTTTCTTGCTTCCGTCTGTCCATGCGTCAATCCGCCCGTCAGTGCGTGCGTCTGTTCATGCGTCCGTCCCTACGTTCGTCCATGCATCCGCCCCTGCGTCCGTTCATGCGTCCATCTATGCATCTGCTTGTGTGTCCGTTCGTTCATATATTCAACACTCTAAGTACCACCATCTCGCATTTTTTCATCATATCACCGTATAGAAGCACCGCCATCCAGTGGACATTACAAAGACTAAACGAGAGGTGGCACACGCACACTTTCTTACGGTTTGCGCTTCGGGTCTACTTCCCACCTTTAACCACCTCGAGTTCATGGTATATACTAGTTCACTGTATTCATGGCACCGCGGCCCAACGCTCGCAAAACATTCCTAAAACAAAGCAGGTTACGCCCAGCGAGTATAACGTAGCAACCTTTTCCTGTCAGATAGTGCTCAATGCACATGCTAATGGCTGCTAATAGGGAATGAGAGACAGGAGAGTCAGCTTTTACTTTCTTACGGCTTGCGCTTCGTAGCTACTTCCCACATTTAACCACCTCAAGTTTATGGTATATACTAGTTCACTGTATTCATGGCACCGCGGCCCAACGCTCGCAAAACATTCCTAAAACAAAGCAGGTTACGCCCAGCGAGTATAACGTAGCAACCTTTTCCTGTCAGATAGTGCTCAATGCACATGCTAATGGCTGCTAATAGGGAATGAGAGACAGGAGAGTCAGCTTTTACTTTCTTACGGCTTGCACTTCGTATCTACTTCCCACCTTTCACCACCTCGAGTTCATCCATGGTATATACTAGTTCATTGTATTCATGGCATTGTGACTCAACGCTCGCTAAACCTTTCTAAAACTAAGGAGGTTACGCCCAGCGAGTATAACGTAGCAACCCTTTCTTGATAGATAGAGCTCAATGTACATGCCGATGGCTGCTAATAGGGATCGCAGCGTGCGCGTTAACTAAAAGTCGAATGCTCCTGTCTCTCATTCCCCATTAGCAGCAATTGGCATGTACATTGAGCATTATTTTTTATTGTTCAACAACGCACAGAAGAAATTTCTCACCGGCACCACCTTAGAGGTCAAAAATGTTATACTTGTTACATACTACAACGGCTACGAGGGACGAACGGGTGTTGTTATAGAAAGCTTCACCCCTAAAAGGCCGAGTTCACTAATGAGACACGCCCAATCGCGTATTTGTTTTTTTTTTTCAGGTGACGAAAGCTCCCATGTTGTCGCCATAAACTCCTGTAAACTGTTGTAAACATACGTGACCCCGCAAAAATGTGCTGCCGTGCATCGAGCGTGCTGCTTCTACTAGCTAGGCTGTGTGTTCTGGTGCCACTGTCACCTTGTGAAAACCACAGAGTCGAGTAGCGAGCATAGCGGGGTTGATAGAAGCACATTCCTCCGGTCGCTGCAGTTTTCATGTCGATGCTGCTGCGTGCGGTCACCCACGCGTGCGCGTTGGCCTTGAGCGGGTAACTGCAAACGTGGCGTCATTTCCCTGCATGCGACGCGTCTCGTGGATGCTGTGGCGCGTGCACATGGGTTCTAAAAATGGGCTCCATCAGCGATAGAACGCGTGCAGCCCATTCCAGATTTACGCCCATCAGCTACTTATAACTTATTTACACAAGTGAGCTCTCGTTGCATTTTGCATTAAAAAAACTCCCAAGCATTTCCCCGAGGGTGAACATGGTTGAGTGCGAATACACGGGGTGATGCTATGAGGGGTATTTATTAATTCGCACTATTATATTTATTAATCACACTATGGTGCCTTTATGGTGTAATGGTTCCTGGGAATCGCAATTTGATCACACGGGGGAGTTTACGTTAACTCACTGGCGAATGCCAAAGGATTTTAACTTTACTCCCCCTCACGACCCGCTCTCGACGGGAGACTGAGAGAGAAGGCGGGCGCGCGAGAGAGAGGGGTGCGCGCGCAGCTGCAGCGAGCGTGGAGAGCGGAGGAGCGACACCGATATCAGCGTCGCGTCCGTGGCTTATTCGGTAGAGCGTCGCGCTGCGGCCCGCCAAGTCCTCTTTCTTTTAAAGATAGAGAGAAGACTGCGGACGCCGCCGACGGCGGTGGATGGTTTGGGGTCGCTTATAAAGTGTATTCACACTTAAAAGCCATCGCACGTCAAATCCACGTATCGGTGTCTGCAGGTAGGGAGAGACACTTGGTTATTTGCGAAGCCGTGTGACAGAACGCACGCTCAAACCATTTTAGACGACATGAACTGGCACCTCGGTGCTTTATTCGTCACCGATGACGCGTCGGCGATCACGTGGCACAGTTTTTATGGTTTGCCCCTGCTCCGTTTTTTAATCTATAAACTCTCAACGCGCTGCTAGTCGCCGGTGTGCACCAGCCTTTAAGCTTAGCTCGATTGGTGTTTTGGTGCACTTTTGTAGCTCGATCGGTGTTTCAGAGCACTTTTGTTGTCTGTTAAAAGCTGTTCACGCTATCATGTCAGGCTTTTCTATAAGCAAAGTACCACTGTTACGTAATATAGATTCTTGTTCAGTCACAATTTATGAATTATTTTTTGCGAGTGTGGTGCGTTTTCTTTTTTAAATGTTTCCGCAAACATAGTTTTCAACCAAACCTTTTTTTATTAAATATTATTTGACGTGTTTGGTACGAAGGCCAGATAGATCACGTAATACTTAAAAAGGTAGTGCAGTTCATTCCTGGAGATAGTTTGTTTAAAAATTTCCTTCCAAATTTGTTTCAGTGTAGTGTGTATTATAAACCAATTAAAATATGCACTGCTGCCCCCACTTTGCTAAAAAATTGTATTTTCAAGCTCTCAGGACGACACATTAAATGCCGCTAACTGTTCCAAAGCAAGATTCATCTGCTCCAAAATTCAAATTTTGCTGCTCCAAAAACTGCTCCCAATTTAGTCTCGGCCGTCTCACCCTTAAATGCAGTTAAGCTGTATACCGGGACAACGGAACATTCAGACCTACGATGCTTTCATTCAGACTATAGGTGGAACATTGCCAATGTCACGCTTTCTTTGCGAGGGAAAAATTGTGGTTACGAGACGCGCTAGTAAAGCAGGTTAGCCAATGCAGTTTAGTGAAATTCCTTTATGTTCTTCAATGCGACAAGACTGCCTCGTGGCGGGAAAGCAAGAACGAAAAGCTTACGTATGAGCATGCGCCACCGGACAACCGCGTTTTCCAGGAAAACGGATGCAGCCAATAAATATGAATGTTAGGGAACTACTGTACAAGTCTCTCGTCACACGAGATGGATAAGACGGCGAGTGTTCGCCCAGCTTCTCGGGATTTCTTGGCTCCGTGTTTTCATTACGCAAGGGAAACGCAGGTTTCAATGAACGAGCGAGAGCGTGTTGCTTACTCAACCTACTGAAGTACACCTTCTTTACAGAAGGATGCCATGCATTTGTCCACCTCTAACATTAAATTTCCCTTCTGCCTTTGCCATTGTGGGGTATAACATTTTTCTAGGTTGGTTGACGTCCATGTATCTCCTGCACGTTCTTTCTTTTTTTTTTATTGAAATAGAAAATAAACGAAGGAGTTCTTGTCACCGTTACTTGGTGACGGCTACCCCTTTCCACCTAATTGGTACAAATAAAGTTATGAAACAGAAAAAACAATAGCATATATACATATATACAGTCCTACAATGGTGAGAGCAAAAGTTCTCCTATTTGGGCAGAACAAACACGTAGACGACACGCTCATTTTTAACTTTTGTCCGCACAGTATTCGTCACAAATCTTCGTTTCTTCGAAGAACTGTTGCAGCACCTTCATTGTTTTGCCGTTCTTTCTTACTTGCCGACATCTTTGGCTCGCTCCATTTGCCTGCCTGCTCTTACGGGCAATCTTACCGTAGAGTTGACGTGCCAACGGAAACAAAGAAGTAAACTGAAACCCGTTAAGAAGGAGCACGCATCTGCCTATATAGGTGTCGAAAGAGCCGGCGCAACTCGCGTCACGTCAAGCGAGAGCGATGACGCAGATTTAAAGAGAAAAGGAGAGG